AAGGGCTGTTTCCTACAATTTCTATTTTACCAGGAAGAGGAGTTTTCTATATTGATCATAATCTGAGATTAAACCCAGAAGAAAGGACCTAAATTGACAAATGTTTATTTGTCAATCAAGCTGAAAATCTTTTTATCTTTTCAGACTTCTGATAAGAGCGACACTCCTATTTTGTTAAGAGGGCCTGACATCGAATACTTCTAAAAAATTGTTGACTTCCTTGGATTGACTACAAAACAATCTGAGCATACAGGATATTACTTAATTATACATTTATTTGTTCTGATTGCATGCCTCTTCTAAGGTCTTCATCTAGGAGACCAAATCCATCCAGGGACATGAAGGATGCCACAGCTATTATTAGCAGGGATTTGAACACATTATACATACACTAAATATATAGGTTAGTTTATCATTAAAAGTATAATCTGTCCTACAATGCTACTTTCACAAAAGGAAAACTATACATTAATAGCTGATTAAAAATGAATAAATAGCTCCCAAACAATGTATACCATTTTCCTTGAATTCCAGGTAAACCCAGGTATCCTGGTTCTCCTGGGGACCCACTTTTCCTTGCTCTCCTGGTAACACAGAAATTACATAAAGATTGAAGATCTACTGCCTATGAAAAACACTAGTCTTTTTATCTCTACATGTATCTCAAATTTTAGATTAATGGTTAAAAAATTTGTTGACATTTAGAGTTACTATTACAGAAATAATCCAGAATGAAAAGTTTAAAGGAGTCCAATAAAACTTGCTATACTTTTCTTTTTGCCACTTAAAAAATTCTGATAGCACATATTTAAAACTTTTAAAAATATTTGCTATTTTTACATTTTATAACTTCAACAATAAGTAATAATGTAGTGAAGATAATAAACACAGGTATCTCTTGTTTTATTTACTAACACTTTCTTTTCCTCCTTGCAACTGCTTATTCTCATTTTATTGCTACTTTAAAGAACTTATTGTTACAAAACTGGAAGGAAATAGAATAAAAATCAATGAAAATTTTACTACTATTTTTATTTTGTTATATATTTTCTCTCTACCTCCCACAAACACACATACAGTGTTTAGTTACTGAAATGTGCTCACTGTGTATGCATAACTTTGTCTTTTACTTCATGATGTACTAATATTGTGAAGTTCTTTATATGCCATTTACATGCCATTTTGGAAAATATGATTTGTAATTACAGAATAGTATTTGACTATTGATTTGCTTTTATTTGAAATTTCAATTGTTAAATATTAGTTTTCATATTTTTATTTACAAACATTGGGAGAAACCTCTTTGAACTTAAATTGTATGCACATTTATATTTTTCTTTATACATATGGAAATTTATTTTCTTGGAAGCAAATTCTTGAGTGGTTTCAGTAAAGGTAATATTCCATGAGTTATCTTAACTCAGTTTCTCCACTCTCCAGTATACTACAGAGATTATTTCCTTTATGAAATAAACGTTTTTTAAAAGTACTAAATAAGGAAGTTTTTGTAAGCATGTAGTAGGGATGTACCAATGACATATAGGTAATATCTGTAAGAGATGGCACATAATCTTGAACTTGCTTCATGATTTTGTGTTTTACCATTAGTCCAAAACTATCACATTAACTAAAGACTGCCCTCTTTTGTAGAAATTAAGTTTGGTTTTCTTTGCTCACTGTGCCCACTCCTGAGCTCCTGAATATTACTCTAGATTTTTATAGCCTGAAGAGAGTTGAAAAATCCCGTAGAAATAAACATCAATCACTGATTTGGAGGAATCAGCTGTGAGTCTCCACACTGAAAATAACTAATACCCCCTGTGGGAGTCACACAGTCTTGTTTTCAGCTCTGTACCAGAGTGATCTTCTCCAGATCAGAGAGTATGCTCATATTAGCATACACGTTTACCGTTTCTAGAAAAACTGAGCCAAAGGTATATTTCATGTGTTTATAACCCAAACTATGATAGTATCCAAAACACAGAAATGAAAACCCACATTGGTCATTTCCTTCACGTAACTTAATTTTGTGAAATAAGTTATCCTAATTTCAGGTATCTTCTTCTTAAGGGTTACAAAATATTAATCTCAGATAATGAGGGGAATTCATAATTCTTTGAAAATACTACCAAATGCATCAAATCATAATTACCTTGAGCCCAGGAGTCCCCAGTGTCCCTTGAGTCCAGGATCACCTTTACTTCCCTGTCAATGCATCAAACCATTTTAATTATTTTTTAATGTAGTTGCAGTATATTTTACACACTTAAGGGAATATATTTAAAATAATTTTTACATTTTCAACTTTCCAATTATTTGATATATAGACTCTGTATATTAAGCCTACTTACTAAAAAAATTCTTTTAAACAAGGAAGTGAATCCACATATTTAAAGAGCTTTCTGAAAGCATGTTTTAAAGCTGACAGCTCCAAGCAAGGGAAGAGATTCAAGTCTCAGAGACCAGCACTAATTAGTTCGGTCTTCTTACTTCACATTCTTCTGCCATGTATTTAAACAGCATCCTATGAGTTGAAAATCTTCATCTTTGCACTATTTCATTTCTCAGTTAAACTCACCTTCAGTATGCAATTGAAGGAAAGAAAATTGGCTTCAGATGTAGAGTGGCTTTTTTGAAGAAGACGAATTAGAAAATGTTTAACGTGTGCTCTTTTTCAGGATTCAAGCCGTCCTTTCTCACAGAGAGAAACTTTGAGAGCACAATCAAGTTGGTAAAGCAGAGAATGTAAGGTAAGAAAAGAGGATTGGATATTAAAAAGAGAGACTACACGTGCTGGGTAATAAGGACAGACTGCCAAAGGTGGTCTGGTTTTCAAATATATTTTGATACCTGAAATCACAACCTAGTCCATATCTGGCAAAAGTCCATAATTAAACAGAGAGGTGTGGCACCTGGAAGGAGGTGGGGTGATGATCACCCGAAGTCAAGTTGGGTCCACTGATAAGTTGAGGAGACTAACTTCATTTTCAGGTTCTGAAATTTTCCTAGGCTGCTTGTGTTAAGAAACATACGAATGTAATAGTTGGACTTAATTAAAACATTGGCACATAACATTATTGAAACATGGAACGGTGGTCTCTTAAAATTTATAATATGACAAGTGATTAAGCTGAAACTCAGAGGTGACAACACTTTGTTGAAAGTTAGATGACTTGATTATGTTAATATGTCTTACTATCATTTAGGTAATATTTTTAAAAACTGGAATACAGTATTGTATGGGAGACTTATCTATGGTTCAGCAGCTAATTTTAAAATGGTGGTATAAGCTAAATGAGAAGTTTTTTTCAGATCTACCACAGAGTTTCAGCCTCATCCCTTTTCTACTTTATACAGCTTTATTTCTTCTACTCCAAAACTTGCGCCATTGATATTGAAAGCATAGTTCACAAATATTAGTTGACAAAACTGGCAGAGGTAAGCTAATATAGAGGTAAGCAAACTGTGGCCTCCAAAGACTAAATAAAATATATTCATCTGGTCCTTTGCAGAAAAGATTCCAACCCCTGAGCTGCATGAAAGGAAATGGAAATGTTTCATTGCAAAGACTGCATTAAAAAGGTACAATTTTAACATCTTAAATCTATTTTTAACAAAATAATTGCACAAGTACAAGATGAGGGAAACCAAATTTTATAGTAATTCATGAAAAAATAAACTCTGATGCTGACAACATCCACTTGACTCCCCAGCCATAGCAGTATAATCTACTCAAGTTGTGGCCGCCACAAATACATTGTTCTAGAATGTTCTATGGAAAATCCAAAAGAATTAACTGACCTCCAGTTCACTGTCAGGCCAAAAATGAGAAGTGATTAATTTTAAACAGCTGATGAAATCTTAGGCAGCATTATTAAGTATTAGAGCATCTAGAACATCCTGGGAGGGTCCACTGTATCCCAAGTTATTTCAGGAATATAAGGCTATCTCCTTACAAAATGACCTAGAGTAATTATAGAGACTCTCCACATGGTTGGCCCAGTCACTCAAGAGTTGTCTACCATCTCCGTGGACACTTGATGCTGCCAGGACACCCAGTGCTCCAAGGACTCGTAAGGATCCGCCACTGGTGAAAGGATAGATACTTTTCCTAAATCACTGGGGGCTCCCATGACCCTTTATCCTATCTCTTTCTCTAAGTACCTTAGAAATGAAAAGTAGATTAGTCATCTACTCATTTTGTATGGTAGGCTCTATTCTCCTGGGACAATGTCTACTTAAAATTACATACTTTTCAAACAGCGATTCCATTACTTCCTTTAGGAAGGTTGTCCTAGAACCTACTCATTACTTGTTGAGAATAGTGTTTGAGTCTATCCATAATGTACTTGATTTGATCCTATAATAAAACAAGAAAAGAAAGTTATCTTAGTGCAGGATCCCATACATGTAGAAAATGGTCAAACCATGCTATCCAAACAGTTTCAGTTCTACCTTGAGAATAACCTGACATCCTAAGTATATTTGTCGAGTGTAGTTTCCTTTTTTAAGTTTAAAAGTAAACATAGTATGCTCCCTTACCCACAGTCCTGAGGGAGTGACTGCCTAATGAAACTCACTGCAAGGCATTTTGCAAATAAAAGTCCCATATACATTTCACTAAATACAAATACTAAGAAGAGGACTTGAAAGTTGGTAAAGTTATCTTCAGTCATAATGACTAACGCTGTAATTGGTGGGTTTGGCACTGACTCCACAAAACTCTGTAGAACATATTCTCCAGTATACTTGGGGATGCCAATAAAGGAGGAGGGGGCTGAGTACTGAGGAATTGTGGACTTCGTCTGATTTAAACCAGACCTGCGTTACATTAGCTTGTTTAATATGCTTAGTTTTGCCTAATATTTCATTCTTCCAACTGATTGTTAATAGAATTAAAACCACATACAAAATAAAATCAGTAGAGTTAAGACTTACTGATGTACATAGATGATGATTTTTCATAAACTTCTCACTCTTGTCAATTTTATTTTATTTACCTTAGATCCTGGTGTTCCAGGCTGACCAGGTAAGCCATCACTTCCCATCAAACCTTACCTTTTTAAGTGGGAATTTCAAGAGTAATTTAGAGAAGAGCATTAAAAAATACTAAATCTATTTCCAAGTTACATATTTTCATTAAAATTAATCCACCAAAAATAATGCAGTATTTGAGAAAGTTGCCTACATAAATCCAAATAAAGGGTAATAAAGAATCAAACTATGCAGATAGCATGAAGGCCAGCAAAACCCTGATCAAACCATGCTATCCAAACAGTTTCAGTCATGCAACCAACAAATAGCAACAATTACTGGGTGGCTAATAGAAGACAGTGACAAACGTTAATTGTTTTTCTGCATCATACTTTCTTTTGTCATGATGGCTAAGAATTAGGTTTCTTCATAGATATTATCTTCGCTAATTTTACTTACAATTTCTATATTCCTGAACATTATTTTGAAAGTTACAACCTAATAATTCTCTGAATATGATAATCTCTCTTCAAGTTATAAAATAGCATTATTTTTAACTAACCATAAGAATCAAAATAAGACAATGATAACTATTCTAGCAACAAGGAACTGATTTAATTTAAATTCCACTCTCAACACCATTACATATATTAAAAACATGTACATTCTCTTAAACATAGCAAAGAAAATATGGTGAGCAAAAAACCATTCAATTACTGTCATCACAAAACATAATCTCAATATGGCCACATTGAAAATACCATGTAATCACTACTATGCACTTTGCTGCCAATTTAGGATGTTATCGCAACTATAAAATGTAAAACATACTAGTTTATCATATAATGTATAAAACATTAGTAATGTTAAATATAGATATTCTTGAACTTCAGTACCTTCATTTTCTGGAGGTTAACTTAGACACCAATAAATAATCAAGTGTAATTTACTATTTCAATGAAAAAATAGCTTCATAGTAATGGTGGAAGGTAGAAGAAGAACATTCCATTTCAAAGGGGAAATCTTCTTCTACATCTCCCCAAAATTGAATTCATAGCTAATTGACAATATTTTTTCCTATTTATTCTTACATGCAGAGTTCATCAAATCTTTCAAAGTACTGGGTGAAACATTTGGTTTTTTAACTCACATGATTAAATTAGAAGTCATAAACTATCAAACATGAAAGTGATCAGTTTTATTTAAAGAAAAAGCCATTATATAGGCAATTTGATTCATAGATTAACATCAACATCACTTCCAGGAATAAATTTAGGAATTTCTTATGGAATCTTCACACACACAAAAGGAGTCTCATAATTTCTAATATCAAACTCACATGTCACATTTCACTCCCAAAACTTCTGAACTGTTCACTTGTTTAGGACCTTCCTGTACTACCTCTTCTGAATATATGCTCTCTCATTGGAGTAATAAATTTGTAATTTTTTTAATGAAAAAAGAATAACCATTGATTTTTTAGACTTTTTCACGGCATTTGGGTATTTTGTTTGTGATGAATAGCTAGAATATTGTTTTCTGGTTTGTCAACAGTAAGAGTCTCTGATCTTCTTTGAGTGGCCAGTTTTTTGAGAATCTAAAGAAATCTGGGAGGCAGAGCCAAGATGGCGGCATGAGTAGGACAGTGGGAATCTCCTCCCAAAAACATGTATATTTTTGAAAATACAACAAATACAACTATCCCTAAAAGAGAGAACAGAAGACATAGGACAACAGCCAGACCACATCCACACCTGCGAGAACCCAGCGCCTGGTGAAATGGGTAAGATACAAGCTGCAGCCCGGCGGGACCTGAGGCCCCTCACTCCAGCTCCCGGCGGGAGGAGGGGAGTTGGAGTGGGGAGGGAGAGGGAGCCCAAGACTGCTAAACACCCAGCCCTAGCCATCTGCACCAGAGCGCAAACACACAGTGCATGCTTGGGGTGCTAGAAACTAGGGAAACAGGGCAGTAAGACCTGTGAGTGGGTCCCACAGCTGGCACCTCTGGGACAAAGAAAAGTGAGTGCTTATTGAAAGTCTTAAAGGGACAGGGACCCCACAACTGGACGGAAGCATCCTGGGTCACAGTCCAGCAGCTGGAAATTCCAGGGAACTCTGGGTACACTAACCCCCTGGGCAACAGCTCTGAGACCCCTCACGGAGGTAAACAGCCAAACAGCCCGCCGCCCATTACACCTCCGGGTCCCGCCATAGCAGAGCAGCAGCCTGAGGCTGGCCATGCCCACAGCAAGGGAGCTTCCTCCCTACCGGCCGGGTAAGGTACAGAGGCCCAGTCTACATGCAATTGCCCAACACAAGCCACTAGGGGTTGCAGTTGTCCCAGTAAAGAAAGGCCAGGAGCAAGTGGAAAGAGTTGGGTCTCCCAGCTGACAGATGAGTCAATAGCATACCACTGCACCTATCAACATGAAAAGGCAAAAAAATTTGATCCAGACAAGACTAACCCAGACATCTTTGACATCTTCTACATCTTCCCCTGAGAAGGAATCTGGGGAGATAGATTTAACCAATCTTCCTGAAAAAGAATTCAAAACAAAAGTCATAACCATGCTGATGGACTTGCAGAGAAATATGCAAGAACTAAGGAGGGAGAATACAGAAATAAAACAATCTCTGGAAGGACTTCAAAGCAGAATGGATGAGATGCAAGAGACCATTAATGGACTAGAAAACAGAGAACAGGAATGCAGAGAAGCTGATGCAGAGAGAGATAAAGGATCTCCAGGAATGAAAGAATATTAAGAGAACTGTGTGACCAATCGAAATGGAACAATATCTGCATTATAGGGGTACCAGAAGAAGAAGAGAGAGAAAAAGGGATAGAAAGTGTCTTTGAAGAAATAATTGCTGAAAACTTCCCCAAACTAGGGGAGGAAATGGCCTCTCAGACCACAGAGGTACACAGAACTCCCATGACAAGGGATCCAAGGAGGGTAACACCCAGACACATAATAATTAAAATGGCAAAGATCAAAGACAAGGACAAAGTATTAAAGGCAGCCAGAGAGAAAAAAAAGGTCACCTACAAAGGAAAACCCATCAGGCTATCATCAGACTTCTCAACAGAAACCTTATAGGCCAGAAGAGAATGGCACTATATACTTAATGCAATGAAACAGAAGGGCCTTGAACCAAGAATACTGTATCCAGCACGATTATCATTTAAATATGAAGGAGGGATTAAACAATTCCCAGCCAGGCAAAAAGTTGAGGGAATTTGCCTCCCACAAACCACCTCTAAAGAAATCTGGTCTTCTTTAGAAAAATGGACATAAATATAATCTTTTTTCATGAAATAGATGGAATTTGTGGACCCCAAAAATATCATTGCTGGATCCCCCAACAGTTGTGAACTCGAGAATAAAAACTTCTAGTATGATGTAACAATATATCAAACTGAAAATAAATAATAATGATATTAACATACAGGTATTCCTGGAGCTCCTTTTTTCCCTAGTGGTTCTGGAGGCCCAATATCTCCCTAAAAATCAAATACAGGTCATATTAAACACTGTAAATTATCAATTCATTTCCATAAATTTCCCACCAAACCATTATGGAATGAGAAGCCAATTCCAATGTACCTAGGGTGTCTGCCTTCCCTTCCTCTACTATAAGACAGGAGCAACACAAGGTAGAAAAATAAAGAATTTAAAACCTTAAAGACCAGTGCCTAGGGTATATGGATTACTAAGTCAAAGATCTTCATTAGGAAATCAAGGACTCTGCCATTCTTTCAAAGGAAGACCTAGCCATTCAGACAGGGCTGTTGAGGTGAGACAACGGGGTGGTGGTGGTGAAACAATCAAGTGAAAACTTTTCTTATTTGTCATATTTTAAGAGTTATGAGAGTGAACACAAATTAAGAAAAATGCAGGTACATAATAATATCATTTGGACTTCAATTTCTGGCATTGTTGCTGACCAGATACTCCAAGGGATTCTCTGACTCCAGAACAAAACACCTTGGAAAGAGCATCCTCTGTGGGAGAGTGCTGATCATATTAAGAAACAGGAAAAGTCTTTTAAAAAATCTCTTATTTTAATAAAATATACTCTGGGTTGTGGCTATAATTTTCAGGATTTGGAACTGTGCCCAAAGCTTGCCAGAGATAGAGATGCAGGAGCCAAGAGGGCTGGAGGTGTCTGAACACATGCACAGCTCTTGGGAAGCTGACCGTGGTGCCAATCATGGGAAAAGGGCAGCAATATTTCATACCTATGATGACTCAGGACTCTCGAAGAGGGCTGAGAATATACTATACCCTGAATATGTATAGTATACAGTATATAATATGTTATATTCTGAAACAGTAGCCACAGCTACCTGCAGCAGGCAGCTCTTCATGCCCCAGTTAGGCTCACAGGACTCCCACCAACTAAGACAAAGCAATGAGCTCGAAATCAACAATAAATAAAGAGGAGGCAGCAAGCCACAGGAACAAGAGTTAGCAGGAGTAACAACTATGTGCAGATATTGGAATTGTGTTAGCAAAGGAATTGAAGACTACGTATGAAACTTAATAATTCAAAAAATAGAATGATAAAAGACTGTTAGGACTGAAAATAAAACAAGAGACTATCAAAAATAAGAAGGTATCATTTAAAATTTGAACTTTTGGAAATTAGAAATTTGATCGTTTAAATTTTTTTTTAAATCAATTGTAGTTTCAACAGCAGATTAGGCATAGTAAAGGAAAAAATAAATACACTGGAAGATATACCACCCAAAATTAACCAGAATATTAAGAATCTAGGATATAAAAAATAAAAAGCTGTTTAGAGATGCAGAAGATATAAACAGAAAGAATAAAATACAACTAACTAGAATTCCAGGAAGAGGGAATAGAGAGAATAGAATAGATGTAATAGAGATAGTGGCTGATATCGTCTAGAGTTAATGGGAATAATTCCACAGATCCAGGAAGCAAAATGAATGTCCACCAGTAGGAATAAAGAGAAATCCATATTTAGATACACTGTAGTGGGTTTTGAGAACACTAAGAAAAAAATACCTTTATAGAATTCCAAAGGAAGGACAGA